TTATTAAGAAAAAGGATGGTCAGTGGAGATTTTGCACTAATTATAAAGCCTTAAATGCTATTACAATCATGGATCGCTTTCTCATTCTATCTATTGATGAGCTTATTGATGAGTTATTTAGAGCTCAATGTTCATCTAAATTGGACTTAAGGTCTAATTATCACTAAATATTGGTTAATCTAGATGATAGGTACAAGACAACATTCAAGACACACCAAGGTCATTATGAATGGCTTGTGATGCGTTTTGAGCTTACTAATGCCCCTGCAACTTTTTAAAGCCTAATGAATGAGATTTTCAAAAGTCTTCTAAGACAAGTTTGTACTTGTATTTTTTTTTTATGACATTTTAGTGTACATCCCTTCTTAGTTTGTCCATCTGTAGTATTTAGAGGTGGCTCTTAAACTCTTAAAGAAGCAAAAATTATTTGCCAAATTATCAAAGTATGCCTTTGGATTGCTTGGGAACAGATGCATCTAGGACTAGAGTTGGAGCTGTTCTCAGTTAGCATGATGACCCTATAGATTTTTTTTTCTCAAAGAATTGACTCAAAGGCTACAAAAATAGTCTACAAACACTAGATAGTTCTATGCCATTACTGAGGTTATTGCAAAGTTCAAGCATTACTTACTTGCCCACAAGTTTATCATTAGAACATACCAAAAAAGCTTGTGTAGCTTGACTCATCAAACAATACAAACTCCAAAACAACAGGCTTGGCTACAAAAATTTTTGGGTTATGACTTTATTATAGAATATAAACTTGACAAAGATAATCTAGCTGCAGATTCTTTATATCGTTCTTTTTTCATGGCTTGGTCTCAACCTAAATTCAAAAATTTACCACTACTTCAAGCTGCTATTGTTGAGGATCCTAAATTACAATCCATCCTAGAGTTATGTCTCGAGAACCAACCTCTTCATCCAAATTATACAACCCATAATCAATTATTTTATTGAAAGGGAATATTGGTGATTCCTTTGAAACATCCTCTAATTAATCAAATTTTGCATTTGTTCCATAGTTCAATGATTGGTGGCCATGTTGGGTTTGCTAGGACCATGGCACCTGTTACTACTCAATTCTATTGGCCCAGTATGAACAAGGAGATTCAGGAGTTTGTCTAAAATTATGTAATTTGTCAACAAGTTAAGATTGCCATAACCTTGTCTACTAGTTTGTTGCAACATCTTCCTATACAAAAACAAATTTGAGAAGACTTGGCAATGGACTTCATCACGACACTTCGTCCTTCTGGTGGCTATACAATACTTCAAGTAGAGATTGCCAAGCTCTTTAAATATGCCTATTCCCCCTCCCTTAAAGCTTGATTACACAAGTAAGCAAGTGATTGAAGTTTTCATGAAGATGATAGTAAAATTGCATGGCATTCCTAAGACATTGTCTCTAATAAAGACAAGGTTTTTACTAGTCAATTTTGGCAACATTTGTTCAAATTGAGTGAGACATCACTGAATGTAAGTACTGCATATCATCTACAATCGGATGGGCAGTTAGAAGCCTTGAACAAGTGCTTAAAAATTTACTTAAGGTGCTTTACCTATGATTCTTCTCAAGAGTGGGCAAAATTATTACCTTGGGCAAAGTATTACTACAATACTTCACACAATATTAGTATTGCTATGATAGGACCTTCGCAGCTATCTAAATATGTTCCAAATTCAAAGGATCCTTTACTTGTAGAGCTCCTAATAAAGAGAGATCGTGTTCTTAATATGTTGAAACACTTAATAGAATATGAAAAAGTATGTTGACAAAAAGAGGTGTCATGTGGAATTTAGAGTAAGTGATCAAATACTTGTGAAACTTTAGTCCTAGACAACACTTAGTTGCTTTAAGAAAAAACTAGAAGTTAAACATAAAGTATTTTGACCTAATTCCTGTTATGGAACACATTGGACAATTTCCTTATAAGCTTGTGTTACTCCTATCCACCAAAATTCATCTTATCTTTCATTCTTCTCAACTAAAATTATGTAGAGCTAATCATTCCAATCCTTATGTTCCTCTTCCTTTCACGAACAATGAGACAAGTCCAGTGATGATAAGTCCATATTTTGATGTACTTTATGACTTATATTTTTGTAATTGGAGTTTATTTTATGGAAGTTTCTCACTAGTTGTAATGTTAATTTTGCATATAAGAATAAGAGAACAACCAGTGCCTTTTGGGAATATTTTGAGCAAAAATTTGGATAATTTTAGCATATCTTACTGTAACATCCTCAATTTCTCATTTAAAAATAAATAAATTTTTATAGCAAAAAGAGAAAATAGAAAAATTTTGTTCTATTTTATAGATTTAAGAATTGAATAAAAGCAAAATTTATATTCCTTTTATGAAAATCTTACATAATTCCACAATCATGTTATATTACTTACTTTTTGCTCAATAACTCAAATTCACTAATTTCAATATATATCAGTCATCAAACAAATATTCATAGTTATCATATTATATCAGTCCATCACTGAAGGATCATCAATCAATTTCATCCCACACAATCCAATGCAATATGCCGAAAGTCAGACACCTCTAAACTCAACCAAATCGCACAATCAATATGCACACTTTCTCAGTATTAATGAAGTTATCTATCCTAAAGTTTGGGATAATCTAATAATCATAATATGTCTATTATTCCAAAAACATCAAATAGAAAATCTTGACTACTCCTGAACAATGTTTACTTAGCAAAATCATGATATTCCTCAAAAATAGTTTCATTTAGAGCTTTTATTACAAGTTACATTTGGATAGTTCTAAAAGTAATCAAGGGTTTTATTATGTCCAGCTCTCTTTTTCTATACTTTAAATTTTAAGAAAAATATTAGGGTTCTAAGGTTTTAAGGTTCTAATAGAAAAACTTAGTATTTTCAAATCAAAATACCGAAGAGGAGTTAGAGTTTAGGATCAATTCCCCCTACCTCGAAATGGGTCTCTCAGATTGAGTTTTTCTAGAGATCTAAGGGAGAGGCACAACATTCTAACAAAGGATATTGGCTTGAGAGTTAAGGTTTCTTTAAGTATTACAAAGCACACAATTTTAGATCAGATAAAACTAAGAAATAAGAATGAAGTTAGGGAACCAATCTCTAAAAAACTTACTTGGATCTGAATGGTTAAACTTCCATGTCTGAATTCCAAGGGAGATTGAAGTTTAGAAAAAGATTTCTGAGAAGAGAGAATAGAAGAGAGGTCAAAACTTTGGATTATAATCCAAATTTTCTAATTTAACCCTTAAATACCCCTTAACTTGCAATATTCTCACTACAGCGAGCTATCTCTCAATATAGTGAGAGTTTCTCGCTGCAGTAAAAAAATCAGACAAAATTTTTCTTTGTTGTCTGTCATTCTAACTATAGTGAGAGTTCTTCGCTGCAACGAAATTTTTTTGACTATAACGAGAGAACATCAGAATGTCTGATTTTGGATGTTCTTTCTTGCTACAACGAGTACCAAAATCTCTATTTTTCTATACAATGGTAGCAAAATTGAGGGTATTACATGTACTTATGCACAATTGTGCTTCACAAGCTACATGGACGTGCTTCGTATTTAGCATGGTCATGCTGGATGAGGATGCATAGTCGTGCTGAATGGAGATCATCGGTAAAGACAACAAACCATTCGAAGTTCGAGTGAGTGATTGAGCATCATTGAAGAATGAGAACTCTTTTATTTTTTTTCTCTTTTGGATTTCTCTTGTTTGAATTCTCCTTTTTGTTTTATGGATTAGTTCATTATGTTTTTCGTTGTTTATTTTGTTAATAAGTAGCTAAATTCATAGCTAGGGTTATGGTGGATCCTAATACACACTCTATGTGATTTTTACATTTAATAATAATGTGTTTTCTTTGTGTGTTTGATTTTTATCCTATTAAATCGAATTGTTCATGTTAAGAATTAATCACCCTTAGCATCTCGTAGTTAATTGCATTGTAGACAATCATATCACATGTAGTTATTTGAACTATAGGATAAAATGGGACAAAGGATTAGGCAAATCAAACTTAATCCTTCTCTTCCAAACGTTATTAAATTAACAAATTCATAAGTTCTTTATGCTTTTTCTACATTTTGCTTTGCATGATCATTGAATGTAATCGCCTCGAGAAAAGAATATAAACATTGCATGATCATTTGGTGTTAATAGATTAAGTATGAGTGGTTAGTAAACACTAAAGAAATTAATATTAAAATTAAACTAAAGAAAATATAGAAAGATGTAATAAGTGAAACTATATGCCTTAGGCTTTTTTCATCTAATTTCTATCAAAACCCTCTTTAATGTCTTTTAAATTACTTTTGGATTTAAATTTTTTGTGATTTTTAATTCATTACATACTCTTTCTCTTTAAATAATTGAATCATATTCTTATTAATTGAAAATAATCTTTGTGAACAATAACTTGAAAACTTAATTTTAAAACCTTTTATTACTTTTTAACGGGTATACTTGTCCATAAACATCTAGTAATTCAACCTTCTTCTATATTATAGTCTAGTGACATCATTTGCAAAAATTAAACCTTCTTCTATATTATAGTCTCGTGACATCATTTGCAAAAATTATCATGTTTAACGACATCTAATTCAGTGGCAAGGATTGGATTTCACCCATGCAACTTGGGATGAAGTTTCACAGATCGGGCGCTTCTTTTGTCTCTTTTTTCAGTTTTAAAAGTGAGGCGATTTCTGCATATGATAATTTTTATATTTGCAGGAATTGTGCTGATATGATATTAAAGTTCCAGAAAGCTGCTGCAATTGGAAAATTGAAGGTTACATTTGAAAAGCTGTGCAACCGTAGGATAGACTTCCCCTGTGATTTTGCAAAAGGTCATTTTTTCACTTTGTTTTTCACTGGTTTTTTGTACCCAGAAGGGACTAAATTAATTGACGTTTTGCAAAGTTAAGAATTAACATAGGGCTTTTAAAATCTCAAAAATTAAAATTCCCAATCCATACAATCTTAAAAGACTAATTCGAAAGTTTATTCAAAGAATAATCAATAGTAAGAACAAGGAACGTGAAAACATATGACAGCATCGATATTGTTGAAGCAATTGTTTCGAACTAGCCAATGGGTGCATTCCTTGCCAAGCGATTAGCATTTTGAAAAGACAGCTAAGTCTCAGGCTCAGCTACAGTCACCATGCTTTTGACTATCCCCTATACTTTATAAATAGGACACTTCCATGTATGCTATTACCCTTTAGCTAGTACTCTCTTAGAATAGCTACTAACTTGAGTGTTGAAATTCCATTGCATGTATTCATCCAGTGCTCCGCTGCAAGAAGTTACTAGAAGAGCAACATCACCACCATTTGTGACAGAATCCAACTTACATGGAGAGTGGAATGACCAGCAATAAAATAATGAAAAGGCAAACTAAAATATTATGGTAACTAGGTTATGGAGCAGCCGAAGGTGTACATATATCTCTGCCAGCCATATATATTAATCTATAGATGTCAGCTTTTTTTCTAAACCTAATGTTGACCAAAATACATATGAAGAAGTTCAATTACTAGCTGAAAACCCAAATTTGATAAGATGAAACTGAACTTCCAAGCTATGTTATGTGACTTATACACCCATAAATAATTTTGGACTTTTAATTACAAGACTAATTACACTGGCTTGAACCTAGAAGGTTATATAAACAAAGAGTTACTCTTTGGATGAATACTAGCAAACCACTCTCTGTTCTATAATACTATTTCAGCTGATAATATAACAGATGTGGCGAAAATGTAGATACCGTTGTAGGTTGTATGGTTGCCTTATAAACTAATGCTAGCTTAATGAGTGTCATTTGTCACAATAGAATACATATGGAGTTGTTATTCCTCAAGTGAACAAAAGTATTAACCAAGATCTTTTTATCTAATCACACCGGTGCAAGAATCAAGTGCAAATAAGCTAAGGTGGTAAGATGACTACAAGACATTATAGGCAGACCTCAGTTATAGATGAACTTTTCCTAAAGAACAAATTACTGGTCAAATAAACCATTTTATTTTAGTAACATGTAGAGCAAAGCCTGATTACATTAGAACTTGACAGTGAATGGAAACACAGAAGGTCAAGAAAAGGTCATAGAATTAACAACAGTGAAACTATGTGACACGAAACTTGACAGGGTATAATAATCGATTTGTTTTTAACGTGTGCATCCATATGGTTCAACAACTGTAGAGAAGAAACAAACATGCAGGATTCAAAATAATTCTAGATTATGAAGTTACGATTATAGCACATATATCTATCTCATCAGTATAAACTTGCCAATCATAAGAAGCTTCATTTCCTCTATCATCAGAATGCACAACTCTGCATCCCTGCCTAATCTCTACACTCTCCTTGTCCCTTGAGAAAAACCATTTTATGCTATTGACCGAATTTCATTTTATCTAACCTATTACAACCTATAGTATAATACATCATCTATGGAACAATTCACTAAGTGGTCACTATGAACATGTAGCCAGAGAATCTTGTGGTAGCAACCTCTCATCTTGATCCAATGTGTCCTTGACTGCTTGATAAAATTCTATCCATGAAGAAGAGTAGGAATCCACAGGACCCCACAAAAATGTTGGATTTGGACTTGCAGGGCAGGCAGTAATTAAATCCAAAACTGAAACCGGTTTCATGGTCTGTGGAAAATTGAATGCTAGACTATCAACTTTGTGTTCATAAATTTTTCCGTTCCTGTCCAATTTATACCTTGAAGTACCCTGAAATTCACCCTTAGCTTCCCATGGAACACGAGGCACACCCCTCAGGTTCCACCTAATTAATATCATATTCTCTGAAGGCTGCCATATCCGATACACATCCAAAGCAATCTCACGGAACAAAATTTTACCATGAAATCTCAATGCCCAGAAGATTAATTTGTATTTTTCAATACCAGAAAATGTGTTCAAAGGGTCCATGAATGTTATATCATCCCTGAAATAATCAAATTCAACATTAAAAATCCCATTTTTTACCCTTTTTCAGAAATATCATACATCTAGCAAAAAACCACACACAAAAGCACACGTCTTAAAGAAGAAAACTCAAATACCCAGATGAGAAAATCACCTATAAATGTCATAATTGATGTCTTTGATGAAGATCAAGGGCATGTCTTCACGGAGGGTCCTCACAGCAAGGCCAAGATTGACATAAAATTCATCCTTTTGATGTTGATGATGCTTGTCCTGAGCACCTGTAGTTGGGGTGTTCACCTGAGCAACCTGTGCAGTGGAACTTTGGAGGGAGGAAAGTGAAGAAGAGAAGGAGAATTGGGAGCTACGTCTTGCTGATAAAAGCGTTTGCTGAATGGGTTTCTCTTTTGATTTTGATTTGGTTTGGGGTAGCAGAGAAGGTTTGAGGTTGGACAGAAGAAAAGCCATGGCCTTTAAGCTCAATGGGTTTCGAAGATTTTAGCTTTTCATTTGACAGAGAGAGAGAGAGAAATCTGTTGTTTTTGTCTTTGGTGGCGCAGAAGCAAAATAATTTGAGGCTGTGGTTTACCATTTCGAGTGGCTTTGAGCGTGGCCATGAAATCAAATTGAATAGAAATATGTTGGCATTTTTGCACGTTGCCACCTGCATTTTACACTACTTTAGTTCCAACGGAGAAAACGGGAGAAAAAAATGTATAAAATTCTGTGAGTGGTTTTAGTATTATTTTTTTTTAAAATAATGCCCTAATAAAAACTTATATATCTTTATATATAATTAAAATAAGATGTTGATTTTAATTAAAACATAAACAGATGAATATCCTTGACCTTGAACACCCTAGAGGAAGACAACCTACAAGAAATTTAAAATATTCAATTTTGTCAAGGTTATGTAATGGTATGATGTATGAGATGAGAGATGTTTATGAAATTAGGTTTAGTTATATTCTTAAATTTTTAATCATGGTTAATGTACAACTTTAGTCCGATAATAATTTTCTTGAATTTGTTTTTATTTTTAATCTCTCCACCTAAAACCTCCATACTAAAAAAGATTTCTAAATAATATTACTCGAAATAAAGAAACTTCTAGAATCTTATGTTTTATTTAAATACTTGAGAGTTTAAGATATATTTGAGATAGAAAATTATTCTTAAACGGGGCTTTTGATTTGTTTTGAAAAAGAAAGAAAGAAAGATAGAAAGAAAAAAAAAACTTTGTAATTTCTGAAACTTTTCATAATTTGATGCTTTAATTTATAACTTTTGAATAAAAGAGAATTTAAAATAGTTAAATTAATTTAATTTATTGAATTTGAGTCGTTTCAAGGTTTTAAGTAAAATAATTTTTAAGAAATTAAAAAAATACTCAATTCATATAAAATTATTAAAAATCCCATATTTATATTATCTAGTTTCTTAAAAACAGTACAAATATTAATAAATTTTAAATAAAAAATATGTTGTGTGATTAAATAAATTTAAAAAGTAAATAACTTAATTATTAATAATAAATATTATATTATATTTAATAAGACTAAATTTAATTGAAATAAAATTATTATAACTTAAACATATAATTTTGAGTTTAAAACAAAAAATACTAAATTAAAGAAACAAAACTTTTAAACTTAAAATGTTTAAAATTAAAATAAAATTAAAAATATTAAATGTTCATTATATGATATGTCACATTTAGGGATAGAAGTAAATTGTGTCACTTGTTAGGGACTAGGTCTGACCTATCTAAAAGTTTGTTTTAACTTGATTCAATTAGTAGAAAAGCTTATGAATCCTGACAGAACAGCTTGTTAATATATATTTTTATATTTATAAATTATATTATTTTATTTTTATTTTTATGAAATGTCTGATTTATCCTTATGTTTAAAATTAGAAGCCCTAAAACGCACGCAGCCAATAGTCACCCCTGACACAATGCCAATGCTCTTCACTTCATAAGTTTAGACTTGAATCGAATAGCTCCATCAAACCACCCATCATTATACCGCCATCACCTACATCACGTTGCCAGAGCTGTTCCAGCTGCATTGCATCACTGGAGCTGTTCCATTTGCATCGTATCATCTTGCATGCGTCTGTGTCATGCCATCGCTATAGTTGTTCCACCAGATCACCAAGTCTTCTCAGTTCTCATCGAAATGCATGACTCTCTCACGCTTACAGGAAGATGATCTCTTGCTCTGATTGTTGATTCATTTTTGGTTGTCTGATTTTGGAGGATCTTGAGCTTTGCTGTTATGTTTATATATATCACGTGGTTAATCGGTTGATTATGCGAGACAATTATTCTTTGAATGTGGATGAATCATGGCAAGGTGTGTAGAGACTGGAAAATCCCATTGTTTCGAAATCTAAAGGCAAATAATGGAATGATTAAAAATCGTATTTGTCTCTCTTATGCTTGATGATTGTATCACATAATATAGCACTGTGTTTCTCATTTTTGTTTTATTGCTTTTTGTTCTCTTGTTGCATTCTTGCCGTTTTTCTGGCACTATTTTGTTTTATTTACACTCTGACCATACAAAATTTATTTTACTATGTATGTGCAAGCAATGATCTAACTTCAAGAGCAAGCCTTTCAGTTGGCCTATTTCTTACAATCCTCCTTCTTTGTATGCATCAGCCTTTTTCCTCTCCTTCTTTAGAAATGTTCGTGTCTCCAATATAAAAATGTCAAGAGAGAAAAGACCCACCAAAAGAGAGAACCGAAAAAAGAAAAAGCCCCTACTGGCTCCGTTGTGCAGTGTCTTCAAAAATCCAAGAGAGAGAAAAATGGCAAATGCTCTTGGTCGCATCTTCCTGAATTTCGCCCTCCATTCCTCCCGACCTGTGACCCTTTTTCATTTTTTTATTCTTTTTTGTTAGCCTTTTGTTTTATTTGTTAGCTTCCTTTAAATGAAAATTTTGTTATAAAAATATATATATGCATTCTGTTATAAATGATTTATATTAAAATAAACTTTTATTTCCATTTTCTATTATTTTATATGTTAATTATTCTAGCTTTTATTTTATCATCAAAATTTTATTTACATTGGGCAAAAGAGTTTGAATGATAAAAGACTTATAATTAATTGTCCAACAAGATGCAATTCTACATTTCAAATCTTGTCCAGTGCTTTAAAATTCAAGATTAAAAAGCTTATAGAAAAAGGGAGTCACATTATAACTACACACCTTCAACTGAAGAGTTGGATAAAGTTGAGAAAGTTTGTCAACTTCTAAAAGTATTTGATGTTGTCATTCATGTAATCTTGGTAAGTGAATATCTCACTACTGACTTGTATCTTACAAAAGTTTGAAGGGTAAAACAAGTTAATAAAGATTATTTTATGAGAGAAATGGTAGCTCCAATGAAAGCAAAGTTTGATAAATATTAGGGGAGTAATTTGCAAATGGCTATTGCTAGTGTCTTAGACCATAGGTGCAAATTTCATATTGTTGATATATATTTTCTCTTGATTTATAAACTTGAAGAAGTTGCTTGAGAGAATATAAAGAAGGTTCAAAATTCATTGGATGAGTTATATGATGAGTATGTGTCTTTTAGTTTGGAGGACTCATCCTTTTTAGAGGTGAATAACAATGCCAACAATTCTTCACCTTCTACACAACTTAAATCTTCAAAGGTTATTGGGTTTGAGAAAATTAAGAGTATTGTCCATTGAAAGAAACAACCTCACAATGAAATATGAATTATAAGTTTATCTGAATGAGGGTGTTTATATTCCTGATGGAGATGCTAGTTCCTTTAGTATCTTGGATTGGTGGAGGAATAATAGTATGAAATATAAGATTTTATCCAAGATAACTATTGATATATTAGTTATTCCAATATCAATTGTGGCATCAGAATCTACCTTTAGTGCTGGAGGTAAAGTGATTAATAAATATCACTCTACATTGAATGAAGAATCGATTGAGGCACTAATTTGTGGTTAGGGTTGGCTTTGTCATAAATATGATTTAAAGAAAAAGTCAAAAGTAAAAACTTCTCATTTTTATGTTTTGTCCCTTATATGTGTAAGCATTTTTCAATACAATAACATAAATCCTTTTTGTTTTTACCTTGAAGGTGGATGAATAACTTGAAGTGATCAGCCTTAAGATTTGATTTCTTTTTTTGCAACTTATATTGATTTGAATGTATTTTAGTTAAAAGACTACATAATATTGTTGGATTTATTGAGTTTACTTTGAACTTATTAGTTATTTCAAGATGTTTGGTTAAAGACCATAAACCTATCATTGAATTTATTTAATTTGTAATTAATAAGGCCTATTAGTCCATAAACTTGTTATTAGCCTTTATAGAGATAAGTCTATTAGGTTATAAGTCTATTATTGGCCTTCATAGATATTAGCTTATAAGTTTACTGACCTTTTAGATATAAGCTTGTGGCCTATTTGAAAGGCCTACATATATGACAAGTTGTTAAGTAGGTTAATAGGCCTTGTGAAATAGGTTGGTTATACCCAAAAAAATTGGCTTATAGTAGATTTAACCTTAGGCTGTGAAAATAGCATACAAGCAAGGCTTGAGCCATATGTAAAGTTTAACCTGACTTACTCTACTTCCATCCCTAGTCACATTATATAATATAGAAAATAAACTAACTATTAAAATGAGATAACATATAAAAATACATTCATTTAAAAATTAGAACTTGTATTTTATATATAGCATTAAATTATTCTTAATAAAAAAATAAATGTATCATTCTAATTTTTCTAAAATTAACTAGATTTTAAAAATTAATAGGTGTGAGTATTTATTTTATTATATTATAAATCTATTTTTTTATCAAAGAAATTTAGATTTACTTCTTATTTTAACAAATATTATGAAAGAGATATATTAAAAAAATTTCTAAAGTAGAAAGAGATGAAAAAAATATTAAATTAAAGAAATATGTCATGGGATGATTAAAGGAGGATAAGAATTTCAATTGAGAGAATAAATTGAAATTAATTTAGACCAAGTCAAAGCTGATAAAACATCAAATGTAAATGATTGAGAAATGGAAATTGGTGGGAAAAATGATGAGATACACATGCAAAGAAGTAGGACTTTAGCTAAGATGAAATTGGCATTTACAAATTTTCCTTAATGTATATGTACAATATTTTCCAAAAAATTCCAATCAAAACAAAACAAACAAGTATCTTTATAAATTGGCAAGAAATTCACGTAAAAAGACTAGGAATCAAGTGATGTGTCATTCAATTTTAGTTAGGAAAATAACTTGTATTTAGAAGCTAAATGGAATCTAGTTTGAATAGGATAAGGCAACAGACAGTGAAAAAAATATAAAGAAGATTCAAGGAGAGTTAGAAATAGCTATGAATACACACGTGAACAAAGGTATTGAAACTTCCAATAATTAAATCCAATTCAAGTAAGCAAGTAAGGTGAATGACTTGTTATTTATGTTAAGTCAAGATAAAAAAAATTTGGAAGAAAGTTAATGTGACAAGAGTCAAGGTAATTCTATCCAAAGGTAAAGTAAAGTCTTAAGGGTAAAT